GTAAAACTTAGTGTATAACCGTTTGATACTTTTTAGCCTACATACTTTATGGGATCTTTTGATATGCAACTGCGGTTTATCGACACCCATCCGACAGCGAGAAAACAACCGCGCCCCCTCGATGATCTCAATGGTTCGACATTATTATGTCGACCGCTTCTCAGTGGTCCTTTTTAAGCTGAAAAAACGCACCTCATTGAAATTAACAAACTCGATCGCTCGGCCACTGACGTAGGCCGGAGTGGGTGGATGATATGGCTGACGAATATCGGAGGTGGTAAGCGCGAGTTGATCGCGATCTCCTCGTGGATAGTTGATCTCTACCTTGAAGAGAGAGATTTTAGTAACGTATACCTCTTTTCTAAGAACAAAATCAAGTGGAACTTGAAATATTTACATAACGTATGCCTCTTTTCTTAGAATAGAAACTTTCTCAGAATAGAAACAAATAGAACTCAGCGTATTCAAATTTTTGCACTACAGCTGTGCATAACCATTTGGTGATTCACTATAGTCTTTCCCAATTTTATTTGATAGATTTTTAGCGCGCTGTGAGCATTAAGCCAAGATTTCGTGCTAATGCTGAGATTAGTTGCTTGGAATAGCTTTATGGATTGGGAAAGTAAAACATCGACTTGTCTGATGCCGTCACGACTGCTGAGAAATCCTCTTGAAAAAGGGTTGATTGCGTAAATGCAGCCCATTAGAAATCAAGGTAGATGTGATCAGTGATGCATGGTGGAGGAACCAGGAAACGGCAGAAATGAACCCCTTCCCGACCGTTGATAAGGGGTGTCTCATTGGCCTCATCAACGCTCTCTCTCTACTGAAGCAGCCAAACACAGACGGCAATAGGGTGGGCGTGTCGTGGCGTGAGCAGCACGGGCAAAGCTGTGCTAGCTGGACGAGGCACAGCCATTTGCTGTGTTGATCCGCAAGACTCTTTCCTTCCACTTGGTGGTAACCCCTTCTTCTCCTCCGACCTTATCGCGAAATCCTCTTCCAAGAGCAGAGGTGGGAAAAAAGGAATCCCTTAGGAATTCCCACAGGCTATCCCATTTGCGACGACTTCCATAGCATTCTATCCCTCGAACTAGGACCAGTTGCGCCGTGTCTCTATCAATAGCACCTCAGCAACGAGTGAGGCCGTATAGCTATAGCAAGTTCTACCTTACATATGTACGTATAAGAGAAAGTATTACAATTCACTGCGTTGGGTAGGTTCTAGTGCCGTGCCCCTTTGAGGAGCTCCAGGAGTCGTACTTGATGCCATTTCACTGGTGGGTAACTGAAGCCAGAAAAGTGGAAAATCCGCATATGCTAATGTTGGAACAAAAATTGGGATCATCAGCAGACCAGGTCTATGAAATTTTTTGGTCACCACAAAGCGCCGTCGAAGGCAGAGTGGCGGACGAGTCGCAGCGTTGCATGCTGTAGAACCGCTACCGAGAGGGTTGCTTCTTTTCATGCTTGACACTGAAATCGCGTACACACGCGTCTTGCAACGCCTGCATTGTGGGCGCGCGCGAGCCGCCTGCCGTCGGGCGCTATACCCTGTTTTGTGAGATTCCATATCCCTGCGCAGTGGAGGTCTACTGCGAAATCACCTTCTCGTAAGTACATTCAGTCTCGTCATGGTGCCAATTAATTTCACTAATGTTTGCGTGAATGTTGAAAGTTCAAGCTCAAAAACGTTTCTTCAAACACAAAACCAGTTGACGACGGAAACTGGACGATGAGCACTGCTGAGTAACACCCGAGCAGAAGCATGGGATACATCCTTGTGGGTTGCCGGCCGACATGTAGAACGTGTTCGGTGGGCACTGATCGCAATTAGGTCCTAAAGGTCCCATTTCAGAAAGGTCGATATTAGAGAGCTTCAAAAAATTTAGATAAACGCCCACCTTGCGGCACATAGGTTTTGCAAGTACATCTTCCATCATGACCAGGATATGGAGAAGTGACTCCGGGCCCGGTGCATTGAGGTTGTCTCTGCTGTAAATAAAGATAGAGGGAAGAGATTGAGAAGCTGTGTAGAAGGGAGCTTACCTGAATAGGTACACACGTGCCGAGGTATGGTCCACGGCCAGATCTCTCGTATCCGGGCGCACAATCCTCGCATGACGTTCCAATATATCCGGGAGGGCAAGCACATTGTTCTACCTGAATCATAAGGTTCAGCTATTATACTGGAGGGCACAATTAATGATCAAGCTTGTGGTTCTAGGACGCAGAAATGGGTTGCTTAAGTTTGATGAGGATCGGCAGTGGAGAAAAAAGCAAGAGAATTTCCCGGAATTACTAAAAGGAGGGCGGTTTCATTTCTGAATCCAGCCAAGCGAATTCCAGTGATACTACTGAGCAAGGGAAGAGAGTACAGGTTAGGGAGCCAACGAGAGAGGCGCAGACACGTGCGTGTTGCGAAAGAAAGGAGAGCGATGTAAGTGGTTTCGGGACGACCCTGTCGTCGCGTGTTTTGGAGCCGGTAAAATTGGTCATCTGTGGCTTTCGTGGACAGCTCTGTCCTAGCCACCAAAGCACCTCACCCACCTGAGCCAGTGCTCGGGGCCTTCCATATTATACAATGCTGCGAAAAATTAACAAAGGACTCACCAAGAGCAAGCACCATCGGGTAGGTTGGACGATCAACTGCGAGTCCCATCCAACGGGCCAAGCTGCAAAATAGGCGGGTTAGGAATACTGCTAAATTTTGAACACCTGACCATTTGAAGAGCATTCAACGTACACCTTAGAACGCGTACTTTCTTTGCTTTTCCACTCCGTATCGCTAAACCTAGCTTTTCCATCACGTTCATATAGTAAATGAAAGGAATTATTACTCACTATCTCGTAAGAAATATAAGTTTACAACGTTGATCAATCAATTTTGTATGCGCCGTGCATTCAGATTTCATCTAAAATGGGATGCATACTAGTCTTATGAACATATGCACGGGTTACTGATTTGACCCTTCAAAAGAGGGAGATCGCCGAAATAATCTGAGACATTTGATAAGTTGCTTAGCAAATGCGTTGAAGCGCAACAAAAAAGTGACGATTTTATACATCCATAACGCTCCAGATGACACTTTCAGAAATTTCGGTACGAAAAAGGTAAAAATATAAGCTTACTTGGCCCTCGAAGGGTGTGCATGCATTCAATATGCAATCAAATTGTGAAGGAATTTTGATCATGCTTTTTTGCGAAAGTAATGAGTTTTGGTGTAATCGATGTTCACTTCGAAAACTACCGTGTTCCAGGCTCCTGAAGAAGACGATCCTGTCACCATTAGGAACCTGGTAGAAGATAAGATGTGCATGATTCGCAGGAGGGTGATTCAGGGGTAAAAATGGAATGTATCCAAGAATGGAATGCTGCGTTTCTAAGTGTTGCTCCACATGTGTCTTTGATTACCTTGAAAACCAATTTATTGGGCTCCGTGGAACAACAGCGCCACTTACAACGACTGGAACGCTCTAAATAATGTCACCTTGGATACGAAGATTAACTTTTATGCTGGTGTTTTTTGACCGTAATTTCAGATAACCTAATTGTATGACTGGCTTTCCTGCCTTCCGAGAAGACTGCTCAATAATAATTCAGCTGAAGTGGTTTTCGTTCCACTCGATTAAAGCTTTGCTCGAGATAGGATATAACAGGTAATGGTGGTGGGAGGAGCGCTAGCGGCTGTGGCACGACTAGCAGCTGAGCCTTCGGATTAGCTCCTGTCCTGTCTGAAGAATCGAAGCAACGTCGTCCACAACGCTACCGGATGAGCAGCCAGCACGGCGGCTGCTGCTTCATCTGCCTCTCAACGTATTGGCATCGCAATCTGCACAACGAAAAGATGAAAGAAAAACTCAAGGTTAGCTCTATCTAAGATTTCTTTTTCAAGTAAGATTACCAAGAGCCCCAGACAGCGCTGATCATTCTTTACTTCCCTAACCCATTTGTAT